GGCAATTGAGTCTTAGTAAACACAGACCTCAATTAACAAAACTAGAATTTAATATCCACTGAAATATAATCCTTTTCTCTCTAAGGTTACCTTCCTCCTTCATTTTTACCAAATATAACCAAATCAAGATTAATTTGTTCACAAGTTAAGTCTAATTATTTGATCATATAAACTCTTTTAAATTGGCTGTGCTGGAACTTTTCATAAGGAGTCTTTGGCTAAAATGTTAATAAGGTCTCCTAGGGCCAGGAAAGCCACATTAAGGGCTTGTCACAGGTTTTGGTGAATTGCTTTCTTTTCAAGGACCTTAAAATACCTTGAGATTCCTATGCCTTTTAGGAGGTGATCTTTCTTCCTTCCTTCCTTCCTTTCTTTCTTTCTTTCTTTCTTTCTTCTTTCTTTCTTTCTTTCTTTCTTTCTTTCTTTCTTTCTTTCTTTCTTTCTTTCTTTCTTTCTCTTTCTTTTTTTTGAGTGAAGGTAGATTTATTCAGAGAGATACATTGAAAGGCAAGAGAAAGGTTACGAGGTGTGGGGGTTAGGTGCTCAGATTGAAAGTAGGTACACAATCCATAGACAGAATGTGGGCCATCTCTGAATAAAGAGAGAGAGAGGGGTGGCCAGGAGGTGATCTTAACTTATCTGATAAAGCCACTTATAACCTAAAATCTTCCAGCCTCTGGAGGGATCAGATAGAGACAAAAGATAACTGTTCCAAGTCTGCTTACATAGGTATAATTGGCCAAATTGCTATGAGTCATAATTAGCTTAAGGAAAAGGGTTTCTTTATATCTGGAAAACACAGATTAAAAGCCAGTAATATTTCAGACAAAACTAAAATTAAAACCATATCCATCAGCTTACTGAGTCCCAAGTAACTAATCATTTTTTTTTTGTTGTTGTTAATAGCTTTATGAAATCAGAGTTTCCATCAAATTTTCAAATTTCTTACCCGGTTCAGTTCAGTGCTATAATCTGAAACTTATTAGAAAATTCCCTTAAAGAGAAAACATTTTGCAAAGACATCAGAATAAAACAATAACTGTCTATAAGTGACAAAAGGCTTAAAAACATGGATAAACACCTAGTTACACTGTAATTGATAAAGAAACCTGGATACAATAACCAGAATTATGGCTAATAACATTTCAGAGATACCATATTATAGGGATTTCATATAATTTCTAGAATATCTATATTAATAACATTTTTCATAAAATATAACCTAAGAAGATTTATTATTCATTTGACAATACTTCCCATGTAATTTAACATGTCAAATGAAATTTACTAGTTCGAAATCTCTCTTTGGTATATTTCAGGGGCCCTCTGAAGCATCCCAAGGTTATCTGGAGGTCAAAAGAATGCTGATTAAAATTTGGTATGTAGGAAGCTTTTAAAAAGTTTCAAAACACCTGGTCAAATAAAAGCATAGGTCACTGTGAAACAAAACTTATTCAATAACAATAAAATATTTAAAAGATAAATACAGAACAGATCACTTAAGGGGTAAAAGAAACTTTACAATCTGTTACTAAAAGCAGATTAACATTTTAAGAAAACTTTGTCCTCTTAACAGAGAGAGAGAAAACTAAATCTAGTCTTGTACCAGCTTACTTTTAAAATTAATTTACTTGATTAATTTTATTCTGAATTTAGCCAATCCTGACCACATATAAAACTCTTTTCTCATTTGTATTTGTTACTTATAAGAATATTATACCATATTATTTTTCTTGGTGACAAATTTGTAACAAATATGACAAGGTCTTGTTGGACTTCTATTAAACCTAAGTACAATAAAAGTTTTATTCTTAACATTAATGAATCTAAAGATATGTCTATATTAGTCAAACCAATAAACTTATGCTAACTTCAGATACCAAATGTCTATTAAGTACTGAATATTTTCTAGATCACATGAACCAGATTTTCACTCTAGCTAGTTTCTTTTATATTCCTGAGTATTTATATAAGCAATTAATTTTCTTTAAGCCAACTAAATAGAGCTCTTTTACAAATTAATTTTGACAATGCCACATATCTACAATACACATATAGGTATGTACAAACACATAAACACAGAGACCTATCCCAAAATTTTAGCCATGAATCAGATACAACAATGTAAGACTCATCAGTTAAAAGAGGTTGAATTCAAATTGGGTTTCTGGCAGATGGAACAAATCAAAGTTGCCTGTCTAGATAGCTAAACATTTTTACTAAATTCTATGAAAGGCAGTTAAGATTTCTATTTATCCTTGACAAGCCAAGTTCCAAATTATTTTCCCCCTTTTTCAAAATTTGCATTCCAGAGGTTGTAACAGTGGTTGAGTCATTAGTACCCCCTTAATTCCCACTGCTGGGACAGAAGTTTCTGATAGTGTTCCCAATTTACAGTTCAGAACTGAGTATGTCACTCCAATATCCACTAGAAAGGCCGCTATAATTAAGACCTCACTGTCAGTTTACCTGAGGCTCTTGGGTGACAATTTTTATGGGGGGTCTTTAACATGCATAAGCACCCAGGGTCCCCTCAATCATTACCTTCCTCATCTACGGGTCCTTGGGTGGCCATTACTTTGGAAGGTGCTTATTCTTTCTTTTTTCTTTCTTTTATTTTAATTTTGGGCAATTCTTTCTCCAGTGTCCCTCCTCTTTGCAATAGGCAAAACTCAATAAAAAATGTTTAAATAAATAAATGAATGAATGAATAAATAAATATTTTTAATTTAATAAATATAAAAAATAAAGTACAAATATAAAACCATAAAAATAAAAGGGACAGACTGATTAATAGTCATGGATGGCTTTTTCTTATCTCCCTTTTGCTTACTAAAGGCCCCCAGGTGAGTTGTTATCACAATAACTAGCTTCCTGCTTCTTTCTTCTCCTGCATTATAAACCTTGAAGGCAATTTCCAGCAGTTCCTCAGGATTCATGGCTACCACTCGTTTAACCTTATTTAATTTGCACCTTATATCACCTGAGCTTTGGTTTGTGAAAGTCATATTTACCATGTGTACATTTTCAGGATCATCAGGATTTAGGGTAGTGTACTTTTGATAGGACTGACAGATCCTTTCCAAAAAGGTAGATGAGTTTTCTGTTGGTTCTTGGTTTAGGGCTTGTATCTTGTTAAAGCTAGCCTATTTTGGGAAGCCTTTTCTGAGGCCAGCTAGGACACATTGTCTACGGAGGCATTTGCATGTTCCATTGATTTAGATATTGGGTCTCCTTCTGAGTGGCCTCTAAAACCATTAATTTTTTCAGTTACTTGTTAGACCAGTCATTCAAGATCTTACCCAATGGGCTATTGAATGAAATAGATGGCACACACCCCCCTTAGTAACTTATTTCAAATACAAAATACAAATACAGATTTCAGATTATAATATCAGGCTTTTGTCGGTAGATGAAAGCACAAACTTACAAATGACAAGCTAAAACAAATTCAAATTCCAAACTTACAAATCAAATTCTACTTTTGCTTCCAAGTTCTCTTAGACAGAGATCTCCATTACAGATGGCTACCCATTTCAAATCCAAATTCAAATTCAGTGGGGAGGGTACAGCTCAAGTGGTAGAGTGCATGCTTAGCATGCATGAGGTCCTGGGCTCAATCGCCAGTATCTCCATTAAAGATAAATTAATAAACAAACAAACAAACAGACAAACTTAATTACCTCCCCTCCACCAAAATGATAATAATAATAATAATAATAATAATAATAATAATAATAATAATAATAATAAAATAAAAAATATTTTGAAAAAGAAGAAAAAGAAAAAAAATAAAATTCAGACAGGAGTTCCCCAGTGTGAGATCAAGGGGCCTCAATCATCACTGGGAAATTTACCCTAGGCCTGCTGATCAGATGTGATGGTTCAGGAGAAATAGAGCCATCTTTTCTTCCTCCAAGGAGTTAGTTTGGGTGACTGCAGTCCATTGATGGGTGGAAGGGAAGAGATGAAAGGATCTCCAGAGCAAAATATTCTCTGGCAGCTGCTGGGCCCTATTCCATGTTGTCCCTCTTGTCTGAAAAGAGGAGCAATCATTCAAGCCTTGTTGGACTGGCAGCAAGGTGGAACCTAAAATCCCTCTTAGACAAGAGGATGGTTTAAGCTGCACATTGGTCACCAAGAATTCTGTTAAGTGTAAAATCTAGAGCAATCAATATATGGTGCAAGACACATGTGTAATTTATTTTTTTCTAGTAGCCACATTTTAAAAAGTTAAAAAATTAGGTAAACTTAATTTCATAATACTTTTTATTTGACCAATATATCCAAAGTGTTATCAATAAATATGTAATCAATATATAAAATATTAATATTATATTATGTTTACTGTTTTTGCACTGTCTTCAAAAATGGTGTATATTTTAACTTTATACACATGTCAATTTAGACACAAAATTTTCATTAAAGTGAAATAAATGGAAAATAATCCTACCAAAATAGTAAAGTGGATAATATTTACAGTGATTCAGTTTTAACATTTAAATTAACTAAAATTAAATCAAATTTGAAACTCAGTCCTTCCATTGCCCTAACCATATGTAGTTGGTAGCTACCATATTGGACAGTAGATCTAGAAGTGGGAGTAATTATAAATATAAAACTATGGGGAGCATTAATATTTACTCTCAGTACGCATGAGGCATTATGTATAAGAAGGGGTCAGAGAGTAGACACATAAATGTAGTAGAGTAGTAAATACTTTTTTCACTCAACCAAGTATTAGTGAGACTTTCCATGTTGTATGGGATATTAGTGTGTTCTTTCTCATTTCTGTGTTGAATTGAACTATGTAAAGACCCCCACAATGTACTTATCCATTATATAATAAATATATATTTGAGTTGTTTCTGGATTGGGGCTGTAGCAAACAGACTTGCTATGTGCACTCTTGTTTGTGTACTTTGGTGATAGAATTTTGGTTTTCAATCTTGGACTTGTTGAAAATAGGAGACTCACCTATCCTATTATTTCATATGCAGGAACCTTGGATAAGCATAAGGAGTTAGAGGACCTCGTGGCAAAGTTCCTGAATGTAGAAGCTGCTATGGTCTTTGGGATGGGATTTGCAACTAACTCAATGAATATCCCTGCACTAGTTGGAAAGGTGAGACTTTGTTAATATAATTTTCTTCAGCTGTGCTATTCCTAAGAGGTATAACTCTGAGCAGGTCCTTTGTTAGAAGAATGACTGAGAAGTTTCTTTTCCTAGGAAAACCTGATTCAATGTTCAGCTTTTTGAATACATATACCAGCTTAATACAGCAAATTTATTCATTGTGATGTTCTGGTTACAGAATTGCAGCCCTAAAAGTGAATCAGAATTTATCTTTAGTGACAGTTTAAGCTAAACTAATTAAATTTGTAGGCTCCTGAGTCACCACTTGCAATGTAGTAAATGCTTATTAAGCATTTATTTTGACAAAACACTTTGCTCTGTTGTTCATTAACTTATTCATTCAATACATCGCTTATTGAAAACCTATTATGTCTTCATATGAGGCAAGATACAGGGCATACAAAGATGAACGAGACCTTTGCCCTGTAAATTCATGCAGTTTACTGTCTCATGGGAGAAGCAACACACCAAATAACATTGGATGAATACCACGATAAAGGTATGCACATAAATGAGGAAGGACAAAAGAGTTGCCTGCTAACTCTTCTTGAGAAAGGCTGAGATGCCTGTGCAAAGTAAGACATGAGAACAGAATGTATTACTCATCTGTTTTAATAAGTAAGTTATTTACTCAAGACAAAGAAGAGGGAGTAGTGTGTGTAAAGCCCTGAAGTTTGGGAGAATCAGAACATGGGAGAGTGGATGAAGAGACCAGAAACAAGAGCTGGTACTAAATTGTAAACAGTCTTGTAGTGTAAATCATGCTAGAGTGTTTGAGATTCTTCTAGAGATAAATGGAGAGTTGGTTGGTTCATTTTAAATGAGCAAGTATCATAATAAAGTTTATGTTTTAAAAAATCAGATTCATGACAACCAAGTACAATATGTGATCTTTGGTCAGATTCTGCACTGAAAAATGAAAGTAAAGAATACATCTATAAAATGCATTAAGATGTTTTTAGGACAGTTGGAAAAATATGAATTTGAGTTGTATATTTGATGATAATATTTTATGAACGTTTAATTTTCAGGGTGTGATAATTGCATTGTGATGTAGGAGGATATCCCTGTTCCTAGTAGATTTGTGCTAAAGAGTTTCAGGGTGAGGTATCACGATGTTTATAAGTAACTCAAATGTTTATATATATATATATATGTGTGTGCGTGTGTGTGTGTGTGTATATATATATATGCACACACAATATCTGGAGTAAGGAGATTTAGAATTTTGCTGGCCCTTGTCTCAAAAACTTCAAACTTGTCACATGTGAAATTTCTAATATTAGGGAGAACTCAAGATTCTGGCTGGCCACAGAAGACAAATGTCTTATTGTTTTTTTACATATATCAGCATTTTTAGTGTGCTTGGGCAACCTCATAATATAGAAATCTTTAAATTAATAAAGAAAAATAATTTTACAAATAGGAATTTATAAGCAGTGAATTAGATTGACCTTTTCTCCTTGCCTCAGACTGAACTGCCATCCATACTTGTGCAAATGCAAAGATTTTAACTGTAAAGCAATGATGCTTCTAAGTAGATGTTAATACAGCGGAGAATGAGAATCAGAAAACAAGAGCTTGAAGTTTCTTATAGAAAAGACCCCTGTGTCCTAGTAAGAATATCCCAAAATCATCCCAAATAATCCAACATGGGAATGAAAATCCACAGCAAATCAACCTACCAAAAAATATATTAGTTCTCCAGCAAGCTGTCAATTTTTTAGTTACTGCTTCGTGCTTAACCAAGATCTTGAATGACCTTCTCTGCTGAAAACCATATGTATATATTTCAAAATGATGCTGTCCTTTAAGAGAATCCCCATCTCCATCAGCTAATTGCTCTAGAGGTTTTATTCACATAGACACCAGTTGAACTTTTGGCCTTTTAAAATTAAAGAAGGTTTGGGGAATCTGTGTTAGGCATCTTGAAGTGTCTTCCTGCTCCCATAAGTTTTCCCTTCACTTTATTTATCGGCCTGTTTTGTGTGCTTCTTTTCTCTACACAGGGGTGCCTCATTTTAAGTGATGAGTTAAACCACGCATCTCTTGTGCTTGGGGCCCGCCTCTCAGGTGCAACCATAAGGATCTTCAAACACAACAGTAAGTATCAATGTCTTTATCCAACATGTACCGCTTGCTTTTTGATAAAAGTAAAGATGGTTGATGGAGCTTTGTCCTTGCTCTTCAAATTGTTTACATTCACTATGGGCTTGTTAACCTCTGGTGACCTGGGACAAATAGTTGAAATGCATTCAACACTCAGATTGCTAAGGGTAACCCAAAGGCATTAGTGTTGCTGTTATTAGGGGTCTTGTGACATGACCTCAGAGGACATGACTGATCTCTTAGACTGTGTGTAATTATCAGCAGTGTAAAGTGCTTCCTGTTTTGTAACCCTGTCTTGGGAAAGTTTGGAGACTTACATTTTATGTACTAGTCAGGTAAAAGTGATTTATTCCTTAGCATAAACACTTCCTTTTACTATCCACCCACCACACACACTGCCAAGTTAACTTCGTTGATGTGTCCTTTCAGGCTCCAGGTTGTGAGGCTCGGTGATGAGGTCAGGGTGGCATGGGAAGTATTAGGAAATACTTAGAAGGAGGTGCTGATGGACACCTGAGATGTCTCGTCCAGCTCTGTGCCTGATTTGTTGCATCACCTTGTGTAGATCCTTTCATCTTTCTTGTACTTAGTTTTCCATCTGTGAAATGAGAGGGTTGAACTATATGATGTGTAAGGATCCATCTAGTTCAAAGTTCCTGATCCTAACTCTTCATTTCTGTCATCAGAACTCCCCCTTCACTCTGTGTACATGCGCGTGTACACATGCACACACATGCACACACACACATGTTTCCTCTCTCTTCCTTCTCACCACTTTCTCTCCTGCTTTCCCTCTCCCTCTGCTTTTCCTTGTTCCTCTTCATCGGTTCTCCTTGTTCTCCAAGGTGGTAACAAAGATTGAAGTAAAGAGAAGAAAACAAAGAAGTGAGGGAGAAGGTTTTTTCCAGTTCTGTCATATCACCTCACAGAAATCTCAGGGTAAGAACAGCTGTCCTGTGGGAGAGGTCAGTAAATGCACGGGAGCATTCTAAAGTGAACCACCTTTTCCAGCTTGTAGACTTATTCTAATGAAAAATCTCCTCTCTCACTGAGTGAGGTGAGGACTGGCTATGTGTTTACTGAATCGCTTTCAGCAGCTGTGCAAAGATGAACTCCCTGGAGTGAAGTTCAGGGCCAGGCCCTCTGCAAGAACCATACTTGAGACCCCTCAGACTTACAGCTCAACTATGACATTTAGCTCAATGTTAATTCAGAATATGTTGGCTCCATTTCTTTCTTTTTTTTTAACATTTTTTTAATGAGTAATAGTCATTTTATAATGTTGTGTCAAATTCCAGTGTACAGCACAATTTTTCAACTATACACGAACATGCATATACTCATTGTCACTGTTTTTTTTTTTTTTTGCTGTGAGCTACCACAAGATCCTATATACACTTCCCTGTGCTATACAGTATAATCTTGTCCATCTATTCTACATTTTAAAATCCCAGTCTGTCCCTTCCCACCCCCCACCCCATTGGCAACCACAAGTTTGCACTCTATGTCCATAAGCCTGCCTCTGTTTTGTATTTATTTATTTGTTTGTTTGTTTATTTATTTATTTATTTTTAGATTCCACATATGAGTGATCTCATATGGTATTTTTCTTTCTCTTTCTGGCTTACCTCACCCAGAATGACATTCTCCAGGAACATCCATGTTGCTGCCAATGGCATTATGTTGTCGGTTTTTGTGGCTGAATAGTATTCCATTGTATAAATATACCACCTCTTCTTTATCCAGTCATCTGTTTTTGGACATCTAGGCTGTTTCCATGTCTTGGCTATTGTAAATAGTGCTGCTATGAACACTGCAGTGCAGGTGTCATTGTGAAGTAGGGTTACTTCTGGATATATGCCCAGGACCGGGATCCCTGTGTCATATGGCAAGTCTATTACTAGTCCCTTGAGGAATCTCCATACTGCTTTCAGCAGTGGCTTTCCTTGCTTCTCTCTCCCACTCTTAATGATTTAGATGTCTTCTTTTACAATTTTGTGTTTATTCTATTTGTAATTCATGGTAGTTACCACCTTTCCAGTTATGAGTTTCCCATTTTGTAGCATCTTGCTTCTTTTCTGTTTAGAGTAGAACTGTAAATATTTCTTTTAGTTTGGGTTTAGTGTAGCTAAACTTTTTTAGTTTTTGCTTGTCTGTGAAGTTCCTTATCTCTCCTATTCTAAAGGATAGCCTTGCTGGATAGAGTACCTGAGGCTGCATATTGTTTTCATTCAGGACTTTGATATATCTTACCACTCCCTTCTGGCCTGTAGTGTTTGTGTAGAGAAATCAGCTGAGAGCCTTCTGGGGGTTCCCTTGTAACTCACTCTTTGCTTTTCTCTTGCTGCCTTTAGGATCATTTCTTTATCCTTGACTCTCGCCATCTTGATGATGATATGTCTTGGTGTGGGTCTGCTTAGGTTCTTCCTATTTGGGACCCTATGAGCTTCCTGTACTTGGATATCTGATTCCTTCTTTAGGTTTGGGAAGTTTTCAGTCATGATTCCTTCCAATACCTTTTCAATCCCCTTTGTTCTTTCTTCCCCTTCTAGAACCCCTATTATGTGAAGATTAGCACACTTTATATTATCCCATAGGTCCCTTATGTTGTTTTCATTGTTTTTTATTTATTTTTCTCTCAGCTGCTCTGATTGGGTGCTTTCTGCTGTCCTGTCTTCTAGGTCACTTATTCGTTCCTCTGCATTATCTAGTCTGCTTTGCACAGCCTTTAGATCAGCTCTCATCTCAGCAAATGAGTTTACTAATTCTACTTGGTTCTTCTTTTTAGCTTCTATTTCATTATTGACATATTTTATATCTCTAAACACTATTTTATTTAGTTCTTTCAGTACTTTGTTCACTTCTCTTTTGAAATTTTGATCTAGTAGGCCATCAATGTCTATTTCCTTGATCATGCTTTGAGGGGATTTCTCTTGATCTTTTAATTGGGAGTGGTTCCTCTGCTTCTTTATATTGCTTATATCTTTCTGGCTCTGGGGCTGGTGGGCAGGTGGGTCACTCCCCCTCCTGATGCTGCAGTCAGATGCTGCACTTGGTGAGGTAGGTGGGCGGGCACACCCCCTCCCAGCACCATGGTCAGGTGCTGCATTCCTTCCAGGAAGGTGGGTGGCCACCCACTCTCTCCCAGCACTGGTCACTCTGCTGTTCTGTGCAGCTGCCCGCTCTGCCTTGGGTTGGCACTCCATAAGCGGGCTCAGGGAAGACCACAGAACAGCCCCGCCCCTGCTCTGTGCCAAATCTCAGCTCCTTGTTTGTCTTGGTGGCATTAGTTCTTTGTGGGAGCAGGGCAGAAAGATCCTATCTACCTTGGGCTGTAAACAAGTCTCAGTCCTGCCTAGGAGGTTGTGGAGCCCCCAGGTGCTGATTTAGGTCTCAGCCCCACCCCAGCCCAGGCACTGCACAAAGGAGGAGATGGCGGCTGTGGCTGCACACCAACTCTCTTCTCGTGAGAAGCACTAGTAATGGCGCTGTGGGTCTGAAGAGACAAAGGCTATGGTGCCCCTCCCCCCAGGCCACACCAGCCCTGTTGCTTTGCTTTTTTCACAATTTATGGGGGACCAAGGTTGTTCTGCTGCATATTCTCTCGTAGCCACAGTGCACAGCACCCTGATGTCCCCTGGGGCTACCTCAGTGCACCTACCCCAGTCCTCTGCCTGGCTTGGGCAGCCTGTCCCAGCCCCCAGCTGCCGGCTTGCATCTTTGTGCACATTTAACTTAATTCTGTCAGTCAAGGGGTGCTGGGGGCAGATCCGAATCTTGGAGGCTCCCTCTCCATCCAGTTGGTCTCTCTGTAGGAGGGGGGAGACCCAGTGAATGAGCTCTATTTGTCCTTTGCAACTTCCTTCCTGTGGGACCAGTTCTGCACTGTTTTGTTTTTCCTTCTTTCTTTTTTCCTTTTCTCCTACCAGATTTTTGGTGTCTTTGTCTTTCAAAGAGGGCGATGTTCTGTTGGAGTTCGACAGGTGCTCTGGTTGGCTGAATGGGTCCATAGATACGAGTTTTGCTGTATTTGTGGAAGAGGGTGAGCTACGAGGGTCCTTCTACTCCACCATCTTGCTTCTCTATTAGTTGGTTCCATTTCATAATTTTGCATCAAACACTCAGTCTTGGCTTTAGTCTTTGATAAGTCAAGTTCAGTTCCTCCAATTCTGTTTCATTTATCACTGATTGTCACAATCAGGTTCAAATTACTTTTATGGTGTTGGGAGTAGACATCTTTTAGGGGTTCAGGAAGTGAATTTGTTAGGAGATGAAGGAAAATGCTTTTGATATTAGTACAATGTGCTATGCCTTTTTGATTCTTTGGCAAAGCATACAATTGGTGATCAAAGATTTTGTCTACTTGAGGAAGGATAAAGGGAATGTTGATAATTATTCAACTGTAGTTCCATCCATAGATATAGTTAAATGTGATAATCTCTCTTTTGGAGGGAGACATCTATCAGTGTCAACCTCTTATTTATTCACCCCATTCTACTGAAAGCAGTGGAATTCAATTACTCTAGATGCACCATAGAAACATCTAGGGAATATCTATGAATGATGAATGACTTCCCTCCAGACCAACTGAATCCAAATATCTGGGTTGGGACCAAGGCAGCTGCATTTCTTCAAAGCTTCCCATGTGATTCTGACACATAATGAGGGATATAAGCCCTAGAAACTTATCTTCTAACCTTATTTTTTCTAGCCTGACCCTGGAACTTGCCAGGATGCCCTGAGATATATCAGCAGACACACATTGTCATATTAACTATCCTCCCTCTTCCTCTGACCTTGAGGAGCACTCTTACACTCTTGGCCTAAAGTTGGCAAAGGGAATCACAAAATGCAGAAAGTATTTTGAGCCAAAACTTGTTGAGCATATATTGAACACTTCTTCTAATTTAGGCACTACTTTAGACCTTTGGAGAACTATAAAAATGATAGGATAATACCTTAGATAACTGAGAGTCTATTTGGAGAGGCAGATA